GCAGATAGATCCAACCGTCTCTTAGTAATGCAAACGCTCTTCCATTCGAGGCCCATTGTTCTGTTGATGTAATAACGCCATGTGTTTAATCTAAAGTTTTTTAAGGGATCTAGTTCTACAAACTTCTGCCTTTTGTCTGCAGAGGCATTAAAATGGTGTTTTGGAGTAGTTTCCAATCAACAGAGCTCATAGCAGCTGGTATTTGATCTATGAGGTAGCAGCACTAATGTCAGCTGTAGGAGCAGGTTTCATATCACAAAAGCTGGTTCTGTAAATGGCATGGTGTCTGAATCACCCATTTTTGAGCAAAGAACCAGACAGAGGGTTCATGTCATTCAGGATGATGAACATCCATGGTAGAGTGTTCTAAGTTTTCACGAAAGTTCATTGAGTTGTCGATTAAAATGTCTCGGTGTTGTTCAGAGCAGTTTTTTGCTGTATACAGCAATGATGAATGGGTGATGTTATCTTACAGGCAGAGACATCACGGATCCCCATAATATGTTTTAAGGATAAGCGATCAAATTGGCCAAGTGTAAGAATTGTGGATGTGTTGGTCCAGTTTAAAAAACATTAGAGACTGCTGGTTCTGGTGTTAGAGTGATGAGGGACACCAAATCTAAGGTTTAAACATGTATTTTTGACATGAAAACAGGGTTCCTCATATCGTCTTCTTAGTTTTCATTAAGTTTATTGTAGCTTTTGAAATAAGCTCATTGTCTCTTTCACTCTGGAGATGCATATCAAATTGTTAGGTTGTTCAATTAAACAAACGTGGCCAAACAACCAAACAGTGAACCTTATCTGGTCCAAAACACGAAGCAAAACAAACCAGATGTGGAGACCTCCTAACATACAGTGAGCACGAGGATAATAACCTATTCAAGGTATTGGTTAAACCTTTAGCTAGGGAGCAAGCTCGCTAATTTGGATGTTGGGAGATTATTATTAAAAATTGTAACCATTTCTGTCAACTTTTTTTTACCCCTCTACATTGCAGTAAAAATGGGAGAGTGCGTCAAACCAACAGACAGACCTTCTTGTCATATATGTGATGATACGATACGATACGGTAAAATATAATACACTACAATACCGTGGATTGTTTATTTGAAGAGATTTTTATTGAACTTAAATATCCTTTATGGTCACGTGCATCCACAGTAGCACCAGTAGATAAGAAACATGTATAAAACAATATTGAAGACCAACAACAAACTCGAAGACAACAGAAAACTAAACATAAACAGATATGAATCATACTACACAAAAATGTAAAAGCAAGAGATTTAGATGAACTGACTGAATTTATATCACGCTTTCTCTCGTCTTCTGACTCGTCAAACATTTTTGACGAATCCCATTCACACACCACCATGCACAGCCAGTGGGGGCAGGTGCGGTAAAGTGTCTTTTCGGGACACTGTGGACAGCCCTGAGATCAAACTCCCAACCTTCTGCTTGGGACACAACCAACTCTACCACTGAGCCACCACCGCCCCCTAAGAATGGACGCGAACATCTTGATGCGATTGCACAAGCCGCAAATCCTCTCGAAACATTACTTAAATGAAATACAAATATAAGTCATTTTTGTGTTGTATCAGTATTTGATATCCTGTCTTGCTCAGTCCGCCCTGTACTGAATTAATTCACCATACTCCCGCATTCAGCGAAAATGGGAGCCAGGAGGGGCTGTGGACTGCAGGTGTACAGCACAGTGGACCCAGTGGGATCGCACACATTGGTTTAAGTAAAACCGTTTTGCTCTGCTATCATGCTGGATTGGAGATGAACTAAAAACTCATCTGGAAGTTCCTTGTAACTTTAGCTGATGTCTGATCCATCATTAGCTGGTCCTGATCCTTGAAGTGTCGCTTTGGAAAAAAAAACAAAACATCAGATATCAGAACTGGCATCTCATACCCACTTCTCCGCAATGTCACATCCAGCTAGTTTGGGCTATAAGTAAAGATGTAAGAAGTAAAAGATTTTTGCTGATCTACTTACTACACATGCCAGAATTTGGGAAAAAGCCAAGAAACATCCTTCTCAGTGTGACTTTGAAGAAACAGGCAAGTGCTACTTACTTTTCAGCTGAGCCCATTAAATGTGTTTTCCTATGGTGCTGGAGGGAATTTCACCCACAGAACCTCCTAATTATGAACTGTGACCAAATACAAGTTAAAAGAGAGGAATTAGGTGTTTGTTGTTCAAATGCAATTTTAAAGTCAAGACAAAACCCAAATCACACCGAGGATGCCACGAAATTGGATAATGGCACATTAAAGAGATTTGTTGGTAATTGTCCATCATGCTCAAAGCCTGTGCTCCGGCTTCTTGGGTTTTTATTTTTTAAAGATTTCAGTCCACTAAAAGCAAACTGCTGCACTGGATTTTAAATATAAAAAGTGGAGATTTAGCCAGGCCAATGCTGCCTTCAGATAAGTTTCTCTTTTATTTTCGTTAGTGTTAGCTGGCTGCTAATGAGACACACATTTCTAATCTGTGCTTTTATAACTTTAGAGTCAGGTGTAAATGAACAGATAACCCACGAAACTGAACATAACTGCCTCCGTAGACTGTTGTTTTCATCCTGCTGTTACACTGAAAAGTTTGGAGAAGATATATGATGTAATGGATAGAGTACTTTGCCAGTGCTTATGCTTAAACACATGCTCACCAGCTAACAAATACTGACACAACTGAGTTGAATACTGATTTACAGATGACTTAAAAATGATTCATTAATGCAATAATTGTAGTGTGGCTGGTTAGTTGTGAGGACCCAGAAGCAGACACTGAGACTGAGATCAACTTAAAGAGAATTTAATGTCCAAACAAAAGGGAAGATAATGCAACAGAGGATGTCCGGTAGGCTGGTTGGCCGGCTGTCGTGTGGGCTGGAGACACTGCAGGAAAAACCAGAGGAGAAAGAAGTTATTGTAAATGCACAGAATCACAAGGAGCAAGGTTCTGATGATTATACAAACGAAGTTGGCCAGGAGACGCGCCTTTACCGCTAGGAAGGGTAGACAATACTCAGGCGCTGAGACTGAGGGCTGCAGGCTTCTTAAAGTGCCTTGATTGGAGATGTGGAGCAGGTGTGTGGTCTCACTCAGCCTCAGCGCCGGGGGAGGGGAGGAAACCCTGGAAAAGAGTAAAGCCAAACCAGGCAAACAGGGAAACAAAGGAAGTCCAGCCAAAATAAAACAAGATGAGGAGGCGTCTCACCACAATAATAATAATAAAAAACCAAAAACATTTGGTTTAAATGGTTCATGGTTAGCATGAGATGTAGTGCTGAGAAATAATTTAACAGACTGGAGAGATGAACTACCAAACCTCTGTTGTTTCCACTCTGTGCCACAAACCACAACACGCTTCCGCTTATAAGACACAAAGGGTTAAAAGTGACATAAGTTCAGCTGGTCAACTGATCCTGGATGCTGATCTTTCAGCCTACGTTGCTACAAAGGATTAATGATCAGTAAATATACTTGGACAGGCCTGCCCAGCTATTGTGTATGTGTGAGAAACACTGAATGTGTTTTTGGTTATCAGCGTTCAGTTGGGAGGTGAAAAGGTTCAGGAATGGACCAATGAGCAAAGGGCTGTTTGCAGGTTATGTACATGGGAGTTGTAGTGTTGCAGTCTGCCACTGCAATAAGTTTATCATTTCCCATGACTTTTAAAAAAACTACATAAACACAAAACTCACACTGCAAAAGTGGCTGGTGGGAGTGATTGTGTTGCGTGCTGCTGCTGAAATTCACTTGGATTTGGAGGGTTGGCGGTAGTTTCTGTCGAGTCATACCTCAAAAGTAAACTTCAAAAAATTTTGTTTTTTCTGTTGTTAATTTTGACTTACAAATCTCATGTCTTAGATCCTCTTCACCTTAATTTTTCTTTTCTTCTCATTCAACCAGTTTGGTGACATTGCCAAAAAAACGTACTATTTTGTGGTTTGTGGTTGCTTTGTGTTTTCTTCAATTTGGTGGATGTCTCTTTCACTCAGCCCCAAATGTGTTTGTACATCTTTGCAAACTTCTTTGCTATCTTTCCCCCACACACTTTTGTTTCTTCAACTGGTGATTTTTCATTCCTTAACCAACAATCTGGGGTTTTATAAATTGAGTTTTATATAGCAAGGTACAATTAATGTCTGAGTATCAACAGGAAGAGAAATCACTTCTCTCCATGAATAGATCTCATATGCGTGACACTGAGCTGTAGCTGTCATGTGTTTGAAATTAAGAGTCAATAACCCTTGCCAAGAGGTTTTGACCAATCAGAATGAGAATTTTATATTCTAGTAAGAAGGCCAGGTAATAAAATTTCATGCTAGCCTAGTGTGGTAAACTGTTAGCTGAGCTGAATGGCAATATTTTCATGGTGCACTGCCCCAAGGCCAAGCCAGTTCCCATGATCAAGAACAACACACTCAGCTGCCTGTTTATGGGGGAAAGCTAGCCAAAGCTAATGCAGTCTCACACAACAGCCCTGTTGAAACTGTATAAGTGATATGTTGATTCAGTGGCTAGAGTACTCATCATTTTGGAGACTGTAATATGTGCCATAATTGAATTGTACAGCATTTTCCCGAGTGGTGTTTTATAATTTCCCAACCTATTTGCATCAAAGAGGATAAACCCATTTCCGCAACCAGTGCACTTGAAGTAAGAGGGAAAATGTGTTTGTTGTAATCTGAGTGAACAAGGCCTTCCATTTTTGACAAATTTGTGCATAGCATTTGTGGTCTGATACCGTCTCCTCATCCCCTCATGTGGTGACAGCTACTGGTGAGCATGGTGAGCGATGGTGCGAGTCAACAAGGAGGGGGGTAGAGGGGATGTAGAGACTTGGAGGCCAGCAAAGAGCCATGTGTTGGAGAGACATTGTCCTGTCTGCGCTTAACTTAGATAGAAGGAGGGAAAAAGACATATGAACAAAAGCAGAATCAATACTGTCATTATCAGCCGTGTGTAAGACTGAATTAGATGTCAAACAGCCCTAGGGTTAAAGGGAGGATTTGACATATCTGAACATTAGGAGTGCTATGACATGGATACAGCTTTGTGTGTGTTTTTACTGTGAAAATGTTTCTCTTTCTAACATGTTTTAAATAGGCTTTTAGTTGCTTGCACGAACATCTGCACACATTTTCAAATTGCCATGATCTCAAAGACCTCATCCATCGACTGGGGTTGCATAACTGCTTCTGCTTCATGTTCCAGAATTCATGTTTAAGGCTGGTTATTTAGAGATATAGAGATATAATAAGCATCTTCATATGTTGGTGACTGCCTGCCATCTTTTAGTGATATTTTATGGATGAGGTTTCTTTTAACACGATACAAAATACTTGACACACATGGACTAAAAGATGAGCTTCACTCAGGTCAGTGCAAAAGTCACATGAGAAGAATAGCATACAGAAGCTTTCTCATCAAACACAGTTTCTACACATGAATTTCTACCATTCTCTGACAGGGCAGATCATGACCTTTAACCTTTCCACTCTTGGTGCTTTATCTCCTTCTATCCTGTTATAATCTTTACCAAAGAACACATAAATCTATTGGACTCCTACACATGTGGCTTTTGGCCGGGGTTTAGATAAGGATCATTGGTGTATGAAGCACCTGGAAGCCATCTTTGAGTAAAGTACAGCTCCAGATATTGACTTTGGTAAAGTGAAAAATGTCTGTTTGAAAATTGCTAGAGTGAAAGTCTTAATCTGATAAGTTTTGTACCAAGAGTGTTTTGGTTTCAATTTTACTTGAGTATTAAAAGTGAAAGTGCAAGTGTTCAGAATATTGATAATTATGAACATTTTTTCCAGCTGTATAACACCAGCTTTGGTTACTCAGATGCCTCAAGCATAGACCAATGTAGGTAAAAGAATAAATATTGTCTCTGTCTCTTTTCAGTTGACAGAACTGAGTGTGAATCATTAAAGAGAACAGAAAAACTGTAACAACCAGTACCTGCTCATCATCCCTCTGAGAATAACACCATAAATCAAAGTCATCACACTTTATTAGTCAGACAAAATACATTTATTCTTGACCACTATCTATATAAAACCTGTCCTCCTACTACAAAACTCCTACCAATTTTTAATTTAAATATTTCTGGATACTTTAGAGATAGAAATGCTCGTTAACTTCTGGATCATAAACCTCAAATTAACATGCTCTGGCACCTTATTAAAATTCAGAATACATATATTATTTCTGATAAATAATACCTAAAAATATACCTCACATTTGCTGCTAAATTAAACAAATTATTAGTGATAGGAGTTTCATTGCTATCGTAAGAGTTTTTAATAGCCTATTATTGAGGGCTTTTCAGGTAGTGCTAATGCAGTGTAGTGTCTGTGTCTCTGTTTACCTCTCATCATCTGCTCATCCCTCTCTCTTTTTCTCTATCATCCATTGGGGTCCCTCTCTCCTCTCCCTGTTTTCCACCAACACCTGCCGCCTCTCTGTTTGTCTGTCTGAATCTCATATAGCCTGCAGTGCGACGTCGCTCTAATTAAACATTAGCATAAAACCACAGTGATGAAGAGAGATGTACAGCATCTTATTGGTCGACATTTCTGGAGAAGTTATCTGGCGTCCAACTTATTACTGTTAATGCAGTTTTGAAACAACCAGAGAAGACTGAGTTGTATTCTTTGTCAGTAACTATGTCAGTTTTATGACACTATCCTGTCCTCTGCTGAAATTTGTGTCAGAGTCACAGAGACAGCGAGTGCAAGAGAGAGACAAGCTGAGTGAGGCTGAATGAAGAAGCAGATGAGGAGGAGCAGGAGGTTTCTCCTTCCTCTACTTGGTCTCCTTGACTCCTCTTCTTCTTTGTCAAGGTTTTTATGCCAGTTGACATATGCAATGTTGTTAACCTCTTAGTTCCAATTCATTAAAAGCCGTTATTCACTTAACAAATAACCCAAAATGATGTCCATGTAGTAAGGAGTAGCCAGGATAAATGGGAAAATGTATTGGAACAACAGTACACCCACAAAAGCACTCTGGGAAATGTAGTGAAGTGAAAGAAGGAGTTGTCAGAAATATAAAATCTTAAGTAAAGTACAGATAATAACAAAAAAATACAGGAACTAAGTACAACTACTTTGCTCCTTAACACCACTGCGGTCATTAAGATACACAATTCCCAAGATTAACTGACCATAATTATTGATCTTATAACAATAATAAAAAAAAAAAGATATTCACGAGCTGTCAGATTTCGCTTCATAATGATCTTTGATTATAATTTTGTCTTTTCATGACCTCTTAGTTGTCTGCTTGTATATTTTCCTTTATTGCTTTTTTGTTTGTACCATTTGTTTTTGATAAATTCATTTGATAATTTGATAAATTCAAGCTTCTTTAGTTTACTTTTTTCATGAGTTGCACAAAATATTTTTTTTATTTTTATTTTTTATAAGAGGACACTACCAGCCCATGAACTGATGAACAAGAAGTAAATCATACTAAGCTATACTTCAAACATTTAAAGGAGTATTTTGGTATTTTTTAAGTGAGGTTTTATGTCACTACGTGTAACCACAATGGATTCTGGTCAGCTTGGCCCCTTTTCTGAAAAACTGCCAGTAGAAGCAAAGCCCTAAGTATACTCTGTTTCTGGCCAGCCTTGCCTCTCGCCTAAGCACTCATCTAAGTTTAAGGGTATGCTTTTAGTGTTCTACTCTCAGAGTTTTTTACAGCATAATGACACAACCCATACTCTGGCAGATATGTTCAGAGTACACAGTGTTTGCTGCTGAAGGGGAAGACTAAGTTGAATAACAAACTCTGTGCATGGTTCTGCATCTGCCTGGGCCTGGGCCTTTGGTGCTTACCGCCATATGCAGAAATATCAGATTTTACAATATAGCAGTATTCCATTCAACATTGACCTGGTTAGTTGGTCCCAGTGCATGCAGACGAGCACATCTGTGTGAGATACGTCTGCAAGGAGTGCAAAAAGAAACAGGCTTTCTGATGGCAAAGTGCTGGAAAATGACTGGGTAGAGCGAACACTTAAACCAAGATGAGTGCTTGGGTCAGAGTCTTTTAGAATTAGCTGAATTATGAGGTAGAGTTGGCTCGGTCTTCTGGAAACAGCAGCATACATTGTGTCTTGCTTCTGGCGGCAGAACTGACTGACACACATTGGTCGTACATTTTAGAGTTAGATGTAACTCAAATAACCGAGTTTTGAAAATACTGAAATAGCCCTTTAAGAGAATTTGTGCACTGCTCAACTAGCAAAATGTAATCAGGCAAGCTGTACTTCATTTTGCACTGTGTTTTGTAGATTGTTAAAATATGGACTCTTGAGTTCAGCAGGCACAAAATAACTAAAAAAATATAGATATAATTATATTGAAAATAATTCAAACATTGTAAAGCTAGTTTGCATTTGCCTCTTTGGTAATCACCTACAGTTCTCTCAGGTTAAATTGTCCCTTCTTCATACCTAATCTCATACATTTCTGTATATGGGCCGAGTTACCAGACTGTCAGATTCTTACTAACATGAAGCGGATGTGATTTGCATTTTGAGCTAACAGTCAGAGGTACCTAAATTATATAAGATCTCACTACCCAGTTCCAAAGTGGCCCCCCACTCATTTCTATAATTGCTCATGAGACAAAAATACACCAAAGTAGCCGCTTCACACTGCTTATGTGTGTCCACCCCAGCCTTGCGGTTTTGAGCATTTTTAGATCTTCCCTGGTGAGCCAGCTAACATCCTATTACACAGCCATCAAAAATAATTTAGCAAAGTATTCCTTTAAGGCTTTAATTCTTATTGTGTGAACTGATTACACTGTACTTTTTGGGTCTGTGATTTACTGTTACTTAAGTTGACTTCAATGGGGAGAAAAATGACTTTTCAGTTCTGCCCATAAATTTTTTAGTAGGATTGAGATCAGGGCTTTGTGATGGCCACTTCAAAACATTGACTTTGTTATCCTTAAACCACTTTGTAACCGGTTTGGCAGTATGCTTAGGATCACAATCCATTTGGAAAACCCATTTGCGTCCAAGCTTTAACTTCCTGACTGTTGTCTTGAGATGTTGCTTCAGTATTTCCACATAATGTTCTTTCCTCACGATGCCAACTATTGTGTTAAGTATACCATTCCCTCCTGCTGCAAAACAACCCCACAACATGGTGCTGCCACCCCCATATTTCACAGTTGGGATGGTGTTTTGGGGCTTGCATGCTTTCCCTTTTTTCCTCCAAATGTAACAATGGTCTTTATGGCCAAAAAGTTCCATCTCCGTTTCATCAGACCACAGGACATGTCTTCAAAAATGAAGGTCTTTGTCCCTGTGTGCATTTGCAAACTGTAATCTGGCTTTCATGGCTTCTTCCTGGAAGAGTGGCCTTTTAGCCCATATCGGCACAGGACGTTTGACTCTCGAGAAAGTAATAAAAAATTGTCTAAAAAAATTCTCTCTCTCATTATTCTGGCATTTAGCAAATAAAAATAATTTTGATAATCCTAACTGACCAAAAACAGGAAAATTTTAACCTGATTTAATGTTAGATGGTGAGAAAAAAAAGGTTGTGTGCCTTTTTATGTAGTTTATGTAAACTTCTGGTTTCAACTGTACATTTGATGTTTCTCTGTCCTCCCATTGTACAATCACACCCTAACTACTGGCTTTAAACCTGGCTATGGGAAACTGTTGCTTGTTTGGACCCTACCAATTTACTAAGAATTGCAGTGAAACTATGCTAGTTTTGCATCAAACTATTTCTGTCCAACACTTTGAGATGCAGATTTTAGTTTTTATCATTTAAAATGTTGATTATGAGAGAAAAGAAAAAATTCTCCTCACCTAATTTTGCCCGGTGGAGGTTCTTGAAAAACAGAGATAAAGTAAGCAAAACCCTAAAATGAGAGGTAGGAGAAATCCTGTATTTTCAGAGTGGTTTTTAATATTTCAGGATGTCAGACGCTGACAGAAAACTGCTGGCTTGTTTGATTCTTTCTCCGAGGGAAGCAGCAGACGTTTCCCTTTTATGAGAGTAGAGATGAAGAGATTGTGGAAAGAACCTAACATCCTCTCAACATACTGTAGCATGAAGCCCATGAGGCCAAATGTACTGACTGAATTCAGACGTGTTAACATTTGGTGGAATGTGAGAAACTTCTGCCTGGGGGGAGCACAGACACATGGCACAGTCTGAGGAACACAGAAGAGATGACACAGTGTTTATAATCCACTCTCATCACTTTCACTTGTTTGCTTTCGCTGTTTACTGCTCTGTTCTCGCATTAGGCTTTTTAAAATGGATCCAATGCAACGTCCTTTGTTGTCTCTGAAACCTATGCAGGAGATTCATTTATGGGAATGCATCCCATAATTTCACACCTGTCTGCCTTGTTGTGATACTGACAGTGGGCCTACTCATCATTTAGAAATGATTATTTTATCTGGCAGTACTCAACTGTCTGTTTGCTGTTTCGGATTTTTCTCCCTGATTTACTCTCTACATTTTAGCCCAAGAAGAGTCAACATATCAAAATAATCCAGATTTCAGAAACAGGTGCCTCCATGCAAATGCAGAACCTCTTCAGCTCTATAAGATTTTACAAGACTCCCAGCCTAACTTCAACCACAGGAATGAAACACAGCAGCAGCATGAAGCAAGTTACAATAAGAGGAAAAATGCCCTTTGACAGGCAGAAACCTTGCTCTTACTTCAGACCCTAATCTCTCACATTAGCTGCTTTTTCCAATCATGACTCTCTGTCGGGGCAAAACTGACCTGACTTGGTCTTATCGCTTTAGTCTTTGGCTTACTTATTGAGGCCAGTAGAAGAGGTTTCATTATTAACACTCTGGCATAAAACACAACCGCTGGTGCCGTGCCTCCGATAACATAGCAAGGCATACATACACTGTACGCCTTGTTATGTTATGTTATCTAACCCTTACCCTAACCCAGGAGCGGGCAATCATGTGCCATGGAGGGCCGAGAGGCTGCAGGTTTTCTTTCCAACCCAAAACTCCACCAGGTGATTTCACTGATTACCTTACCTCCAAGAAGAGAGCAGGGACTAATCAGTGAAATCACCTGGTGGAGTTTTGGGTTGGAAAGAAAACCTGCAGCCTCTCGGCCCTCCATGGCACATGATTGCCTACCCCTGCCCTTACCCTAACCTTTGACAGAACAGTAAAATAAGTAAGCAAGGGTGCCATCTAGTGACAACATTTAACTTAATTGGATGAGCCACTATGGCGTTTATTGGTTTGTTGACAGCACAGACGTAAATACAACTCTTGTTGATTTCGCGATTTAGCCACATCATGATCGGATTATATGACTTTGCGCCCATATAAACAGTGGATTCAGATTTTCCAATCCCTCAAGTTTTTAATCTGATCATGAAATTTGGCTCATGTAAACATGGCTTATATCGGCTGGCCTGCTGTCAGTGACCACTCGTTTAGCAAACTGTGCAGTTAGTGTCTGTGATTTAGTTCCTTCCACAGGACTGAGGAAATAAAATTAGTTTTTTTGGGATGAAGTTGCCTGCTGACATGATAGGTCGGCACCTGTATGCATTGTGTGCTCTTTTTGACTTGCTAAGTCAGTAATACCAAATGCGAATCTGATACGTAACAAAGAACATTTAGAACTTGGATTAATTCAAACTAAGGTTTCTTCCCAGTTAGAGCCTTCAGCACTGTGTTTTTTAATAGACAGAGTTGTTCACTTCCCCAGTACAACAGAAGAAAAGAGATCAGTTCTCTGGCCATGAAACTAGTTTTCAAACTAGACTTGCTTTGTCACGAAAACTCTCTTCCCACTGACTCTCCTCTCCTTGTGGACCTGCTAGATAATCCCTCTCCTCTAATTAACTGATGGCTGCAGGTGTGTCCACTGCAATGAGCCCAGTGGCAGCAAAACTCCATCTCTCTCTTTTCGCAACGTGAGCCTACGCTGCTTTGAAAGGGTTGTTTCCCTGGTTTGCCACACAACACTAAAAAAGCTGTATTCTGATAGTAATTTTGTGTTTGTTTTATGCAATTAAATCAGTGAAACCAACAGTATTGTGCAAATTATATCTGTAGACGTGTTGTCATGCTGCTTTCCTGTGCAAATCAAAGTGTGCTGTTAGTGCCTCGGCTTAGCTAACAATGCTAACAACAAGAGTAGTGACTGTAAATCTATGTCAAATTTTAATTTTAGTGTGCAAATGACTCTTCACATGACATAAACTGTACAACGAACCATTCAAAAGCGGTGTTTCTATTGGATGCAGGAAGCCACTACAGTAGGGTGACCATATTCTGAGTCCCCAAAAAGAGGACACCACTACGTGGGGGCGGAGTCACGCGTAGTTAATTTTAAGAGTTTTCCGGATGGGATCAAGTGTTTTTACTCCAACTCAGTAAGTCCATGCTCAAATCTTACATACAAAACCCCGGACATTCAAAGGATTTTATCAACTCCCCGGCCAAAGCTGGGCAGGCCGGACAGCCCCCAAATCAGAGGACATGTCCGGGTAAAAGAGAACGTACAGTCACCCTACACTACAGCAGCTTGGCTGTAGTGTGCCAAATGGGACAAAATAGCTCAATAACGTTCTTATTTGGACCTTAACTTTGTTGAAATAAATGTATTATTGTGGAAAGTCTTTGTTATTTCACCTCTTTGGACCTAAAAACTAATTTATATAAAATATAAAACCATGACAGATGTTTAGAGGGTTTCATTTTTTTATTTTTCAAGTAGAAGTGCTTGATCATCACGCCACAGGCCAGAAGGGTTTCATACCATTGTTTATTCATTTATTGGCTTATGGATGTGTAATGTACAGTGTCTACCAATCAACTAAAGTAGCCTAGTTATGAAATATATGACTTCAATGCTACTTAAGAAGCCAAGAAAATCAGCCAGTAATTAAAAATGGAACTCATATACAAAACCAGAGTGACTCGACTTGGCTACTTCCTGTCTGTGGATGCCAGTAATACTGACATCAAGGTAGACCATCTGTCTCACCACTGATCACACAAATGAGTCAGAAGAGGATGGAACAATACACACTGATGATTCACAGCTCTATTAAATGTTGCCGAGGTCCCTGTCAGGACATCATGTGGCCAAATTGCTTGGAAATGTTTGGGATTGAATATAATCAGATAATTTGCTTGAATGGTCACACAGGAAATTACTTGTAGAGAAGCTGAAGAGCTTCCTATCTCCTGGTACACTATTTATGTCCGAATGCAAACACACGCTATTAGTCACTCAAAAAGCCTGCGTTAGGGATATGTTTTAATAGAGCGGAGGCTAGCTCAGAGCCATGAGGGAGTCAAACACAAGGGAGAAGTCGTCGTTTATGAGCAGAGTGATGGAGAGCAGGATCACTGTGTCCTGCCCTAGTGATGCATTGGCCAGACCAGCTATTGATTGGCTCTGCCCTTCTGCCTTGATACATCATGTCATCTGTGTTTAGAGAGTGGAATCCAGGACGCAAGCACTTCCACTGAAAGCTTGCAAAATAAAAGCCCCCTCCATTGGTTGTAAGTAGTGGTGTGTCTGCGTGATGATGGATCAGGTCATCTGCCTGGTCCCAGGGCCTGACTGTAGAGCGCCATCTTCATCAGACAGTGCCTGACAGGACTTCCATCATCACAAAGTCATGCCGATGGGCCTGGTCTCTGATGGAGCAACACCTGCTTACATCAACACATCAGCAGCAACTTTATCAAGTGAGGTCATTTAGAGCTGGACTCAAATTGACCTCAGTGGCTGACCATAATTGTCAGGGGCCCGGGCATACAGACAGAGTGTCTAACTGAATGACTCTACCCTATTAGAGTTTGAGTATCATGTACTGTCATGCTATTGTTCTCTGTAAGGTAATGTATGTAACAGTAAGCTGCAATGGTGTTTAAAATATAGAAATTTAGAAGGACTTCTTACTCTTTCCCCCCGCAGCAGACAGATCCGTCTTTGTGCCATGTGCCCGGCTTTTCTCATAAACGGACATTTAACCCTCTCCGTTTACAAAAAAAAAAAAAAAAACTGCATACACACCACTACTTTTTCAGAAAAAGTTTTTGTTTACACTAAGCCGTGTATATATGCCATCAAGAGCATATCAAACATGTGTGTGGCAGTGTAGCAAGAAACTCAAGCCCACATTAGCCAATCAGAATTCGGCATAGCAGCAACAACAATGTCCCTTCCCTTCCCTTGCCTGCACACAATATGGTTAATATCTCAATTTTTAAAAATAACCGGGTACGTATAAACAGGGCCTGAAAGTAATGGTGCAGTGCAAAATAAGCTGTGTTTAATAGTGTGGACTTTGTAGATATTAAGTCTACTATTTATATGTTTAAATTAGCATATATAAGTGCCCAGATACAAAACTGTTGTGTTTTTGTTCACTTAAAACAAGCATTTAATGTCTAGATATATGCGAGCACAGATGCCTTTCACCCCTATGTGATTTCATGAAAGGGAAGTAGGAACACACCAGTTAGAAAACTACAAAGACAAGAAATTGACAGTAGGTGGCCACTACGGGGCAACCTTGGGTTTTAAAAATTGAGTCTGGCTGCAAAGGCTCCAAAAACCATGTTCACACTAAGCCACAGAGGTAGTTATAGAGCAGTGATAATCACATTTACAGTCTGCTTCGAAAAACAGTTTTAATCTGAGTAGCTCCTGATCCCACGCCACCCATAGAACAGGAAGCAAATTTTTCTCTAATGCGTTTGTCTATGCGTCTTCACCATACGTTTAAACAACTTCTAGATTTGGACTATCTAAATAAAGACTTGCTTTCAACGTCTATTTTTGGGCTAAATTGGGACAGAATCGGACCGTCTAAATGAAGTCCAGTTTGCAGTGTCTTTATTTGGGCAAATTAATTTGGGCCATTTCGGGCCAACATGATTAAGCCTAAAAAAGGCGTCTAAGTGATGTCGGGAATTTGGTGGGTGAGTTATTAAGGTTTTAAGATTGGACACCTTGGACAATCCAAAAAAAAAGAATAAAACAAACATGTTTTTGAATAATATTGCTTCATTGGAACATCTAAACATTAGAATTAAAGCCCTTGCATACATAAAAAAATGTGTAAATGGATCTATGGTACAATTTGATAATAATCACTGAAGAACCACACAGGTTCTTCACACAACCATACAAACTGATAGTGTGTTTCTAAAAAGACTATTTTTACGTACAGGAACATACACAGCAGATGGGTCTATGAGGAAAGGAGTCACTCAAAAATGTGTTTTGAGTGTTTTTTTAGCACAAAGTTTGACTTGAGAATACATGTTGTTGTTTTTTTATGTTTATGTAACTTGCTGCATGGCTCAAAATGATATAAATTACCACAAATTATCAGCATTAAACACATACAGTCTGACCCACTTTGTAAAAGCTATCAGTAATATCTCACTGTAGCAAGTGTAACTAGGTAAAGAGGTCATTTTTCACTACACTGTGATTACATTTCTATTAATTATTTATTGATTAATTTCTTTCAGAGCTGCAAGGTTTGCCCGATGTAATGAATAAAACTGTCAACTGCACAGGGCTTGATGATTAGCTCTGTTAAGCAGACACGCCTCCTTTGGTTCAGGTCTCCTGCAACTAAAGATAAACTTTATTTTCACCAGTTTGAGGAGTTTGGAACTAATAGATAAACACTGTGCGTAAGGTTTATGACTTTAACTTATCAGTTATGTTGATGAAACATAGAAGCAAGAGGCATTTCCTACGACCACCAAGGTTTGATAGAAGTCTTAACTTATTTGCTGTAAACCACATATTACAGTAGAGTTCTTGTTTTTATTCTCTTCTCAGCTGAGTAGAGGTGGAGAAAGGTGGAATGCTCTTGTAGCTGTTTTATGCAGTCACTCCATGCACCATGCTTACAAAGCTAGAAATACACTGAAATAGGCAGAATACATTCTGTAATATGAGGTGTGCTCCAATTAAATCATACTGAAAGAAAAAACCAGGCCATTAAAACCTGCATTAAAAAATCTACTTTTGAGTTCCCACAAGACTGAAATAGGAAGCTGCTCACACTCGTGTTACTGCCCACTGAGCAATAGACGGCTATTAGACGTCTAGTATTTTTTTAGACCTAATTTCAACCGTCTAGATTCTGTATATTTTTAGACGTTGCACTTTAACCCAACATTCGAGAACTATTTATTTCAAAAAGCAACTGTGAGTTGCATAACTGATCTCCAGGTACTTAACCAAAATATTAAGATAGCCGTTGAGCAATATACAGTGTCGTACAGATATAGCCTGGATTTAGACTTGGTCTATATTTAGACGTCTAAAAAGCTTTCATTTTTGAACCTGTGGTAGCCTGATTTTAGACCAGACATTTAGGCTACATTAAGACGTCTATTAGATCTCTTTTAGACCAAAAAATGCTCAGTAGGTGTCTGTATGTTTGTTTCTAACCTACCTGAGATCAAACCCCGTCTTTAATTTGAAAAGAAGTGGAGAGTCTTCCACCAGACCTCGCTCAAACTTTGTCAGGGGAAGATATGTCACTAAACGTGTCAACAGAAGCTCTTTTGGATTAAGACTCTAGATAAGCTTCGGCCAAAAGGCCTCGTGGAGGAGTTTGATGGGTGTAATAGGTTTTGAAGCAGGCTGCTGATTGTACCCTGATCCCCTGTCATACCAAAGCCAAAGCTACTGATAATGTATTTAACATTAGAAAGTGTTTAGTGAGATCTAATGTCCAATTTTTACGCGACGTGTCCTTCTTCTGTTTACTGCACTACATCCCTCCTTTTATGTATTTTAACTGTGGTGTCTATTTTGATTGCCCATACCTGAGCTAAAACTATATCTCCAATAGGGTGTGGTCTCCACCACCAGTGTGCACACAGGTATTTTACATGCTTCTAATGCTTTGTGTAGGATTGTGTGGATTGTCGAAGTGTGCATCCTATTTGCTATGAAAATATTATCAAAAATATTAATCGAAACCAGACATAAAAAAGCCGAAGGAAAACCAAGGATGGGGTGACACATTGCTTCACAAACTCCATATATAAACACTAGATTCATGTCTTCATTCATTTCTAATTGCTATCAAGGTTCATGTCACCAGCATCATGACAGAAACTTCTACTCAAACAAGAACTCACTATCTCCTTTGTGTGATTTATTCACACCATCTTCCTTACATAATCCAAATCCACAAAAACTGAGGAAAAATCTTGTTTGGTACGGTGAAGTACCACACCTTCATCTGTTATCTTCTCCGACACGACTCACTTCAACAGCAGCCACTCACTGCGGTAAAAGCTTGCAAATTAGGAGGTTGTGGAGGCATCTGCTGCTTTGTCTCCCATCCATTATATAGCAGGTAGTAATAAACTACCACCGTCTTCCAAGCCATAAAATTACTATAATAGAGCATAAACTTATTTTGAAGGCATCTTTGTTAAAAAAAAATAAATAATGAACACCATTATTGTCATTTGGGTTTATTGCAACAGCCCTTATTCATACCAATCCCACAATGCATCAAATCTAGGGTTACCATAGAGCACTTGGTGTTGTCTTGATCAGGTGGTTGAAGTTGGATTATGAAACCAGGTTGAGACGCTCACACTGAAAGATCGGTTGCACTGGAGTGTAGGCTATAAAAGTTCAAACAAACTCAAAGAGGCTAAATTTATTTTTAAGTTGGGGGAATAAAAATCATTACCTAAAGTTTAGAGCTCCAACAGGATCAAGACACTCTGAATCGCAGAAAAAAAGACAAGGGACATGAACTCGGTGTCCTCAGTGTTATACAAGAGCTGGGGCGGGGTAAACATCACAGGAAGAAAAAAAACATTTAGTCACTGTGACCTTTCTTTAAATGGGTTTTTCATAAAAGCGGTGGTAGGTTATTAGTACAGAGAGTTCTGTTAAATCTTGGCTTCACTATAAAAGCTCCAAGCTGCGGTAAAGGAAATTAACAGGCTCAGTTATTTTCAGATATAATGATATTAGCAGAAAGCAGGGATATACTTTAGTAGTCCTTTGACTTGAATAATGACTTCTGTTCCTTCTCCAGGGCAAAGGAAAAGGTGCTTTTGTTTCTTAATGCAGAACTGAATGGTGGCTTTTGATTCCACAAGACAAAAACTGCGTCCAAAACACCGGTCTGTACATGATCTTACACTGGAAATCTGCACCTTCATAATGCAGCTTTAATTAGCTAAACGCATCTCATTAGCCATGCTTACTCCTGTCATAATTTAACCCATAGTGCTGAAAGCTGGCAGCAGCATTAAATGCAGAAAGCTTGGAAATATGAGGCCACTTCGGTAATTGATAAAGGTGTGAGAACAAATAGATAGATCAGATAGATTGTTAGCGGATAGCAGAGGCCCTGAGAGACTGATTAGAAAATAGGCAACTACCAGAAGAGAGGAGAGCAAGACATCAAAGATATAGATTTTGTCAGTTGGCAGGGTGGGAAACGCATCAACAAAATGTACGTCTTGTCTTGTGAATTAGTACCATCAGAGGGCTCAATCTGGCTTATTAGCGCTTGTTTTCAAGTGGCTCCAAAATGAATTTGGGCTTCCTTCCCACCCTGGGACTGAAGATGGTTTCAGAAGTGAGCGGAGCAGACAGAGCAGAGAAGAAGAGAGACAGAGGAGGTGAATGTAGAGCTACAGAATAGTTTTATTAGGCATGCTACAGACGTAATGCAGAATACACGAGAGAGACCATGAGGGAAAACTCAAAAAGCAGGAAACCAAGGCGCACCTCTCCTTGTTAGAAAATAATTCATCCTTTAATTGTGCCTCTTTAAAACTATATCAAATCCTTACATTTTGAGCTGTATAAAATTGGACTTGGAAGAAAAAAAATATACATTACTATTATTTCTGAGCAAACACTTTTAGTCAAGAGGTCCTGTGGAGTATTGAAACAAAGTGGGACAAAGTCACCGCTAAATATTTCTGCAATTCTTCCCCTGAAATGCAACTTTCAGTGTCATCAAATGCTTTCTGTTTTGTTGAAATGAATTAAAGGAACTCTAAAGGCACAGAAACTTTGGTCCAACTGAGTAGCCCTCTCGAGTAAACTGTCACATGACAATGAAATCACAGTGGATTCATCTTCTAACTGCTTCCACAGCATGCAACACTTTCTGATGTAAGATCCTATCATAACTATACATGCTTAGAAAACCATTGTCACTGACAATTACACCCCACTGCTATGGAAAAAGCATCGAAGGCTTGAAAAACACAAAGAAATACTTAGCCATGAACCACGTTGTGATATGTGACGCCATGTGACTTCAAAACTGAACAATCTTGAACTGAAAGTACCAGAGAAATATTGGAATTCAAGTGAAACTGCCCGAAATCGGCTGCTATAAAAACTCAGGAATATCCTCACCAAATGGTAAACTGAAAAGGAAATGTTGAGCATCTACAACTTGAGAAGAAAACCCAAAAAAGCTCTGCCTGTTTTGCGGTGGAGCTTTAGAAAATAATTGAGTCCAGAGGATTGCATTTTCACTCACCTTCAAAAATATTGAATACCAATGTGCCTCAAAAGCAAAGGAGGGTAGTTAATAAACATGTCCAGCTGTACAAACTGTTGATAAAGTCAAGTAAGGCACATTACTGTATCTGTTCAACTAAATCAGGAATAAAAACACTGATCTACATCAAACTATCATATGGGGAACATGTTCAATCTTTTGCTAGACATAAAAATACAGAGGTACAGTAAAGAATAGCTGGGAGGATCCCGTATCTGCAATGTATTCAGTTGTTCTCTTTAAAAAAGAATGCAAGTCAAAGGTCTCAGTCTTAAGGAATGACAGGATCAACGAAACCCCAACAACAAAACCGATTCAATCAATGTGCCCCACAGTGTCCAGACAAAGTCTGCACGGCTGCTGACAGCCAGCTCAGAGACAGTAAACCCTGGTACTGTCAGGAGTTTGTGGATCCAATTCTTAAATGGTGGACTTGGAGAAAGAGACTCTCAGGTGCTGGTTGCCCCCCATGTTGTAGTTGTGAAGGTCGATTAAGGCCTGGGTCGCCTCCTCCACTGTCGACATCTGGATCAGAGCCATTTTACGATCCCTGAAAATTTATAACGCTGGTTAGAGCCGAAAGAAACAAACACTGGACTATGACATATGAACACAAACTATTGTCGGGTCCTGCTCAGTGGGTACATGCCAACTGTCAGTGAAAGAGAGCTCTACGTACTGGAAAAACTTGAATGCTTTCACAGTGCCTCCAGTGTTGGAGAAAAGCAGCCGCAGGTCTTCTTCAGTCACATCTTGCCTGTTAGAAATAGAAGTTCACAGGTTACAGTCGGCACACTCCTGAGCTCAGTTAAATAGCCCCTGATATTATAGTATGCATAAGTATGTTGCCACCCTTTTTGTCACTGCATTTGAAAGAGGCAGTATCAATCACCATTCAATCTTACATGTGACTCATACTGAGCTCACAGCCCAACTTACGGGATATTGGAGAGGTGGAGGGTGGCAGATGGTGGGAATATGTTCTGGAAGTTCTTTGAGCCAGGTTTCTTAAAGCGATGGAGTGGAGAGTTTGCGTAGTCCTTCGTCAGGCCCTGATCATCCAGGCCGTCCCGAGGCAGTGCCACAGTCTGGTGCTTGGACAGTGTGACCCGGATGATCTTTCCATACATCTTCTGGCCGTTCAAGTGGCTCATTGCTGAGGAGAGAAGAGGTGGTGAGCGGTGAAGATGCTGCTGCCTGTCATGATGGTATTGATGTATTTTTTAACAATAACGTCTTCATTTTAATTTTCATCAGTGCTAAGTAACTTTAGCTCGTAAGCTAACCTGTGCAGATACAAAGATACCATATGTATTTTCACTGTCTCAAACTCAATCACGTTGCTGTCACAGCACCATTAGGTCTCAGTTGTTACCTTATGTTTATGGATTATAGTTTAATTTACTTATCTGGTACTGGCCCCGACCCCTTACATGCTATCATGACAGACAGACATCTTAACACTAGTGTCTAATCAGAACTGAAAAACAGTCAGTGTGCTGTTGTGTCACTCTTCTCACTTTTCACCAGGGACGCGTCTTTTCCTCCCTGGAAAGTCACAAAATCACATTGCGCTTGACGTGTATAGTCAGGCGTCTCGAAATTCGCCTCTGAATATTTTGTAATTTCGCGTCGTATATTTGCCTCATTCCTTGTGTGTAAGGACCTTTTGACAAAAAACACTGCCACAAGGCTGACATCACTCTTACTCCTTGCTACTTTGTTGGTACCTCAGTATACACTGTTGCTGTGATTTTGTGTGCTCAGCTTGCTGGATCAGGGCGCTGCGAGATAGAGGTGCCCAAGAGTGGAATGGACTGCTTGTATCGGAGGGCAGATATCGGAGATCTTCGATGCAGGCCAATGTAATCCGATCTACTTTTTTGCTGATATCGGACCGATATCAATATCGTATTGGGACACCCCTAATTGTGGTCATTAGCAATTATTTACCAAAACTACATAGAACTCGTCGCTGGATTAACTGGCAGCTTGGCATGCTGGGATATCAGACGCTCAAGTTAAAATACAAAGCTAAGGACCAGTAATAATATATCAGTTATAGGATTGAGCTCTGGTTAGAAAAAAAAAAAAACACTGGGAAAAGCATTAAAAGCCAGTTAAATTTGGGAGTTCATGGCCTCTGCTTACCAAGCTGGGCCTGGTTGGCATCCGACATCTGAATGAGAGCGCTGTCCTTCTTATTGTACAGAATTTTCACCCTCTGGACATCTCCGTACACTCCTGAATTAGAGCCACAGGCAGGCAGGAGAAGAAGAAGTGAGGTGGAGATAAAGCAGACAGTTAGAGAAACACAAAGTTAGCATTGGAGACGAGGATATATAAAGGACAAGAAACAAAGAAGAGAGAAAAGCAGACTACACACAAGAAATTTACAGTAGAAATTTGAGAGTGAGAGAGAGAGAGGTGTGTAAAGAGAGAGGAGAGAAGAGACACCCTCCAAACAGAAGAGTTATCAAGCTGTGTCAGATGGCTACAAAAATATACAGCATGCACAACTAAAGGACTTGACCGTGCAGTCACAGATTACTATGTTGGAAGTTTAGAAATACTGGAATTAACATTAACCCAAACCAAAAATCAGGAGGGGAATGTTCGAGAAATGATCAAACAAGCTATTATGTGTAAAGCAATATACACAAAAGCGTACAGTAATCATAATTAGAATAATAATGGTAATAATAGTAATAATGTCTTGCATATGGAACAAAATTTAACAAAAAGAGAAGGTATAAGAGAGAGAGAGAGAGAGAGAGAGAGAGAGAGAGAGAGAAAGTGAGAGAGAGTAAGAGAGATAGAGAGAGAAGAGAGAGGAGAGATAGAGAGAGAGAGAGAGAGAGAGAGAGAGAGAGAGCTAACGATAACATACCGAAGAGGGTAAACAGACTTTGGGGCGTAACCATCTTTAGAGGGAGAGAAGAGCAACAAGCAGCGTGAGACAGGTAGAGAGGTAGAAGAGTCGGAGCGGAGCGGAGGTAGAGATGGACAGATCGATCCAGAGCGGAGGTAGGTAGGAGGAATGGTGGTTTTTGTTTTCCCCCCGTAGAGTGATGGAGGTGGTGGGTCATGGAGGAGGGGAGCAGGCAGCGGAGGAGGAGGAGGAGTCATGGAGGGGAATTTTGGAGGGGTTGTGGGTGGTTAATATGGGAGAAGGAGGTGAGGGGAGAAGGTGATTTTTAAGGGGGTAAAGGTCCCCCCCGCCAGCACATTGAGTGGAGGGGGAGGTAGGAGGAATGGAGAGGGAGGGCGGGGTGGGGTTTCGGGGGATAGAGAGAGAGGGAGGGAGATGAACAGGGAGGCCAATGCAAAATGGGGAAAGATTAAAAATAAAAAGTGAGGAGGGGGGAGGGACAAAAAATAAAATATAGGTCAGTACACTGGAATAATGCAGGTAGTTTGGTCAGAGATAATGGCTTGGATCAATGTTTTCTTTAGTCAAAATACAGCAAATAACTTGCGCCAAAATGTCTTTCACCCTGGACAAGCATGGGGTAAAAGGTACATTCAAGTCAAAATCATAATAAAATCAGCAATATAAACTCATAACCATGGGATATAGACAACATGCAGCAGGTTGAAAATCAGAAGAGCTACAATCTTTCAGCAGGGGTTAAATGGTACGAGAAATGTGAGCTGAGGGGGGAAATTAGTTAAAAGACCATGCAGTTAGAGAATTGGATTAGCTGTGACAAGAAGCATGCGAGAGTTGTCGTGAAGGCCACTCGAGTAAAACGTGGCATTCACACAAGTCTGAGGGGCTAAAAGAAAGCTCGAGAACAGTATCTGCACATCAGGGTTGAGTTGGAATGGTTGAGATACTGTCGGAGGCTCCGCTATGACACATTCATTTACAGACAAGAGAAGAGATTGATGACAAAAAGTGGCAGAAGCATTTGGTAAAAACAAATAAAATAGAATTTGGCGACAAAAAAAAAATAAGAGAGAAAGGGAGGAGAAAAGACAGGTAGCAAGTGTGTCAGAGAGGCAGGTGTTTGTTCCCAGGACTGAGAAACAGGTTAGGAAGACCACAGAATGATTTCATATGAGCTTTCATATGAGCTGAAGATAGGTGAAGAGAGCTTAGAGAGAAAAACAGAAGAGAGACAGTTAGCTGAATTAGATACAGTTTGACAAGAGGAGGGAAGGGCAGAACATTGCAGGAGGGAAAACGGGGGAGGGTTCTGGTGCAGTGACAGAAACAGCAAACCCTCTCGCTTTTTAGGGGGACATAATGAGACTTGACCATAAGGAGGAAAAAAAAAAAAACAGAAAGGCCCTGGGCATGAAAAGGACACTAGAAAATACAGCAAAGAAAAAGGTTAGACAAAATGTTCTGTCCCCGAATCAAAACTAATTGGAATAACAATAGGTGAGGTCTGTCACTTCACAGGGTTTGTATTCCTCAGGTGCTGTTTCAATTATGCCTTTGGACAGCTGATTAGCAGCTATCACAGAGAAGACACATCTAATTGCTCACAAAAATCTAAGTTCTGTGGATTAAAATGTTTTACTCGGGCATAAAAGTATCAGGAGTTTGTTGTTTTTTTTTCAAATTGGAGTAGTTTCCTCGCTTAAGTGGAACAAATCCTACGAGGGAAATAAGTAGAAAGAGCAAGAAGCTCGACCAAAGGTATTGCTGCCAAAAACGTCCCTCCTAAGCAACACCAAAGTCTCTGTTATAATAGAAGAACTTGAATTCACTCGTGAAAAATCTCAAGTATCAGACTCCCTAAGAGTACATTTGTAATGACAATGGGAACAGTAGCACAGGAGGACATTGGTCATAACCAGTGTAAAAACTACTTTCAAAAAAAAAAAAAAGAGAGAAAAAAAAAACACAAGGGGGTGGAGGTGGTTGGGAGGAGAAGTGGAATTCAAGCTTCAGATGGGCCACATGACTGATGTGTGTGTGTGTGTGCCTTGTTGTGTTACTGACCTCCTCGTTGAGATTGCTGACCAGCAGAACCCCGCTGGACCCCGCCTGTCCAGCCAAGGCCACCCTTCCTGCAGCAGCAGCTGCAGCAGCTGCCGCGCTCAGGGGGTTCAGGGCTCCTGACAGGGAGAAGACAATATAATCATGGCGTGGAGAGCGGCACTTTGACGGAACAGCGTTACAAAACTGAGCAGGGACACAACTGGCTTTTTAAAATGTATTTACTATTGTTTATTTTTGCAATTCGTAAAGTTGACAAAGCTTTTTACAAGTTTTTAAATCCTTTTACAGAGATTTAAAAAATAGAAGCGTACACCAGACTTTGAGATTAAATTTGGGGATCTGATCATATAACTCTGAAAAGCATTAAGCCAGCATTAACACGGGAAAAACAAGATGATGTATGGAAGAATAAAAAAAGCGTGATCTACCTGGAATCTTACCGAGGAGGGAGTTTGAGTCTTTGCTGAAGGCAGCGGCCACAGTGGGGTCAATGCTCGGCTGGCCGTCACCAGCGGGCAGTTCTGGTCGTGTGTAGTCACGACTCTTATCGTTGTTGTACTTGACATTTAGGTTGACCAGCTTAGAGAAGTCAATACGCAGTGTGCAACATGAATTATAGATGTTCTGGCCGTCAAGTGCCTAGCAGAGGGGGGAAAAAAACATCATCACTCTGTATTTTGACTGTCTTCTGATGTTACAAGACACTAAAAAACAGGTTAGGAGACAGTTGGTAAGTAGTTATTAAAATGCTAGAAAAAAATGCAGGCAAACCACTTCTCACCAGTTTGGCCTGCTGCGCATTAACAGGATCACTGAACTGCAGAAGCGCCTGGAACTGATTGTTCTTTGTGAATGTGATTATCTTCATGACTGTGCCAAACTTGGAGAAAATCTGCCGAAAGATTTTCAAAAAAATACAAATTTGTCAGGTAAAAATAGCAGACATAAGAAATAACACAAATTCTGACACAGTGACTTGATTTTGTCGCATACCTGTTGTAGTACATCCAGTGTCACGGGGTAGAACATGTTGTCAATAATGATCCGCAGGACAGGACTCGAGGCTGCAGCGAGAGCCTCCTGAACATCTGAGCTCGGTGACCCACCGGACTGAACCGCTGACACTGCCTGGAGGACTGCCTGAGTCCGCTGTGACCAAACACAGGTTTTCATAATGGTCACTTTCTTAACGACAGACAAGCTGGTGACCTAATTTGTTCAGTACTCTGAGAGTTAATCTGTCTAGCTGTTCGAGATGAGAAAGGTGGCATTAATTTTTTATGAATCATTTTTGAAGGCTCAACCTTCATCAATACCTAAAAGCATTTTGACAGCCAAACTAACAGCTGAACCCAGAGCCAGCCAGGCACAGGACTTAGCATTTTTGCATAAGAAGCTTTTCTGCAACACAAGTGTGTTAAATTCGTGAAAAGGGCAGTTGCGCTCCTCTAAAGTGAAAAACCTGCACGGTCTTGGCAGAATCTCTTTTAACACTTGTTCATTAGTCTAACTTTGCTTACCTGATTGCCAGCATCAGTTTTCAGCTCCTTGTGATTGGAGTACTGAATAAAAACAGGAACATTGCGAACATGAGGGGTTACTGTGGTGTAATAGTTAACCATCGTGATAGCTGCCTCTTCTGTTCCCATCTCCAAGAATGCCTGAAGAGAAAGATCAGAGAAAACCCACTTCAGAAATCATCTTACTGCTGTTATCATTAGGATGTAACAAGCTGCCTACTTTTATCCAATTAAAACTCGCACTGTCAGAATGTACCAGACAGATAAACAAACAGGCTTGACTACTAAACTCTTATTCTTCAGGTCACTGCGGTGGCAACATAAGATCGATTACAGAAAAATAGATGGTTATCTCATTGGTGAAATGAGCCAGCTTCCGATCAGTTAAAACTGACACACTGACACTGACACTCTTTGAGAAAAAACAAGTGTACTTGACTGTAAACCAAGGAAGAAACTCTTCTCAGCAGACTGAAAAAGGCCCCTTTAAATAAATGTATCATCTAAATCTGAAGTCTTATGTTTGATAATTGGGTTTTGAAGTTGCACTTTATTCATCTGATTCCTCCACTCACCTGGTTCTTCCCCTTCAGTGTGAGGATATTTGTGACTTTGCCAAAAGGCAAACCGAGAGCAATGACTTCAGTCTCTGAGGCCTCGTTTGGCAGTTTTCGGATGTGGAGCACGCGGGATGGTGGGGCCTCCTCCACCCTTAGCTTTTTGCTGTCACTGCCGTTCGAAGTCCCATCTAAAAATATTAATATAGTAATGCATTAACTATGCTGATTTAAACAATGACTCACACTTCAAGTAAAATTTGGGATCTGATTACTGCAAAGGAGCGGGCTTAGTTATTCCAAAACCTCTCTGGCGTATTTATTTAGTTTTGAGCTAATTGGAACCAACTTAACAACCTAGTGCGTTCGGGTCAGTGTGGTCTCAACCACACCTGATTTGTAAATGTGTGTTCTTATGAGGAGTTCTGTTCAGGAGGTGGAATAGTTTGGAGACTGCAGACGTCATTGAAAGTAGGATTTTCTGGATAAAACCAGGGAAGTCAATCAATGTTATATGGAGCGAGTGATCAAGGCACAGACAGATGCAATGAAGTCTCACAACCGCGTCATGGTAGTCGACTAGTAGCAGTTTCTGGCCTAAATAGGTCTAAATAAGCTAACATCCCCTGCTATGCCGGCCTTTATCACACAAAGACGATCCCCGGGCAGGCTATCGAAGGCTATTGTTGGCTAACCAAATATAATGCAGAAAACTTGACATATAAAGAGAAGAATTGAGGTAAAAGGTGGAGCAAGGTACATCATATGTGTATAAAAGGAGGAGGGCTGTCAGTGTTTTGTGTGTGATAACAGATCTGAAAACAAACACCGAATGAGTGGAGTAAAATGATGCTTGTTTTGCAACATGTGACTTAACTTATCAAATTATGCAAGGTAATGAATGATTTCTGCCCTGTTCTTATTAGATGAAAGAGTAAACCTCTATCCACATAATCTACACCACCAGATCTGATGATGTTAGAGAATCAGTGGTTAATAATGTAGACAGATTCTGGGATTCTTCACCTTTCCTTGGGAAATATCTAGCTACATTATAACTTAAATTCACTCATATAATTATCACTATCATTGAGTTATACTGTATTAACTATATAAACAGGCCCTATGGGTGAACACTGCATTGAATGGGAATGTTATGAAGCAGCCTTTAGACTGGGACTATGATAAAAGATCAAACTTCTTCAGTGGGCAGTAAAATCGTAATATTTGTGTAATGTTTGATATTCTGACAATCTTATTTTTAAAGCAGGTCTCTGTCAACCATAATTCTTGATATTTCTTTGCGTTGTTTCTGGGTTCATTTTGACTGTGAGGAGGCATTAAAATGCAGTGGTACCCACTACGTCTGCTCTAGTCACATGCTGTGGTGTGTGGGTGCCCACCTACAGAGGAGCGTGATGTTATTCACATACTTAATGGCTCCCATAAAGGAACGTTTCTCCTCACACGGTCCTCTTCAACTCCTCGAACATATACTGAATTTCTTATCATGCCAATCGTCATTCCCAATTCAATTGCATAATGCAAATTCTGTCCAGCCCCTCCCTATTCAGGGGTGGTCGGAACGAACTCACCACTGATACTGCTCATGCCAGAGTTGGGACTGTTGTACATACTCAGCTCATCTGATCCTCTCTGCAGAAAGAAGAGACACACACACACACAGGAGAAAGTCAGGCTCAGATCAGACACGATGGGTAAAATATTTCCATTTTCCAGACTGGCCTCAAAAACAGCAATAAAGCACAGGTCTCTGAAGAGTGTTTAAAGAACGAAAAGGAAGATAGAGGAGTGGGTGCAAAGGGATATAAAACAGCAGAGGAAAGGTCTGGCTCCTCCCCTTTTGGTGTGAGTTCAATCTTGCTGAATTTAAGATGTCAAGATGTGTCATTTTATCCTGAGCTTTACAGGGTCCCCAGAGGCTTACTGGAGCTGATGGGCGCCCTGTGCTCTTAAACCTGACTGATGGGATGAAGGAGAACCTGGCTAGGGACCCATTACACACACAACTTTTTACACCTTCTTGTTTCTGACCAAGTGAATTTGAACCAATTGTTCTTCTGTCACTAACATTCTTTATAGTTACTATAAACTAGATGTTGCGGGCCGTGCTACAGCGGCATGGCATAAATAAATCTTAAGGGTGATAAAGTTGTCTGACTCGAGCCAAAATGTGAACACAGAGTACAAGCTAAAGAAATCCACGCAGAAATTTTCCTCCCTACAGCTGGCAACCCTCTCCGTTTTGTCTATGACAATGAAATATTGATGATGGAAACAAGACAGCAATGACCCACCATATGAGAAAAGTCATTTTTATGACTGCCCTGTTTCCCTTTAGAAGAGGATTTTAACTTTGTTTAGTGTGGACGGAAATGCAGCTGGCAGTGAACAAATCCAGTTAGGTAGCAGGAACGACATTGTGCTTCCACAAAGAAACCGGTTTGTTTGGAGATCAGCTGAGAGCCTAAAGCCCTACCCAGTCTATTTAAAATCACACTCGCACTGTGTACTCAAACAATTAACTATTATTTAATAACCCCAACATCCTCTTTTCTTTTCAATCTTATTGTACAACACTCTCAGCGCTCAAGTGCAATACTGTCAGACTTGTCTCTGATACTTGGTTTGAACCTTAAATGAATACCCTTGGTCTGGAACAATCCAGGTACTCTTTGGATGTTTCTCTGCTCCAACACACCTGATTCAAATGATCAGCTCGTTATCAAGCTCTGTAATGGCTTCATAACGAGCTAATCATTCGAATCAGGTGTATTGGAGCAGGGAAACATCCAAAACATGCAGGACAGTGGGCCTCGAGGACTGGACTTGAGAACCACTACTCTTTTACACTGTGGCTTATGCAAAAACACTGAACTCAACAGGAGCATTTCTTGATTAACTGTTTCTTTTGAACAGTTTTCCAGTCTCACCATTACATAAAAAAACCTGTTGAACAAGCTGCAGGTGCCAGAGAATCCAGATCTGTTCAAGTGTTACCTTTCTTTGTTCAAGGAATTTTGTTTTTTTAAATCACAATAGTGTATGTGCTACACAATTTCATGGTCTTTTACCACGCTACAAAAATAACAACACTAGGTAGGCTTGTTTTTTAATACCAAAAGTACCCACAAACAAAAAACAAGTAGCAAACTCACCTTCACGCCAACTGCAACATCACTGATGCTGAAAGACAAACCATTTTGATTTTGTTAAAATAACAGCTTTAAACAGTAAAAAAAATACAATCAAAAGCTTTGCTGTCAAACACAAAAGACACGGATGCAGGGTGTGACAAAGGATAGTCTAACATTTGTTGGTGTATTCAATGAAAAGAACAGGTAAGATGCTGAATGTATTGTAATCACCCTTTTCCATTAGCAGAGGAAGCTATCTGCACTTCATTTATTTTGTTCTAGCTCATTAAGTGTCTCCCTCCAAGTTTAGCTGGACAAACATGGCAGCAGCATGTGTGGCCAATGTTTCACACACGATACTTGGATGGCCTTTCAAAGTAAATATGCAGACTATTTTAGCTTTTTTCTGTGAAAGATCACTCACTGCTATGCAAAAATAAGTAAACCATCTCCTCTCTCTCTGTACTTCTCATGGACTTTGAGCTAATAGTGTCCACACTTCCTGCTGTTAAAAGAGGGAAGGAAATGGTTAGAAAGAGAAGTGTCCCCTAGTGTGTTCTTTCATTTAATGTTTTGTTTAATGCCTACACACTCTGCTCACCTGTTGTTAGAACAGACATTGTCAGTCCAATTGAAAAGAATCTATGGAAATGTAGATGGATTTTTTGATTTCCTTTGGGTGCCGCTTTGTTTATTAAATGAGTTTTTCCTTATTTATACTATGAATTTATGAAACTTTAAACATATCGTATTTTCCTGAGATACATTTTGGAAAGGTTTTATACAATATTTACTGCCTTATTTTTGACATGAAAACCATTAGTGATTATTTTCTTGTAAGTGCATGACTTAAAAATGAAGCAATAACAAGGAAAACACGAGACAAAATATATGTGACATTACTCCTAAAAAGTATTTTGAGTGGAATCAAATTCTCTTCAGAAATTTATGATGGTGTAAATCAGCGGTTCTCAAGTCCAGTCCTCGAGGCCCACTGTCCTGCATGTTTCCCTGCTCCAACACACCTGATTCAAATGATTAGCTCGTTATCAAGCTCTGTGATGGCTTTACAACGAGCTGATCATTTGAATCAGATGTGTTGGGGTAGGGAAACATCCAAAACATGCAGGACAGTGGGCCTTGAGGACTGGACCTGAGAACCACTGGTGTAAATAAATCTTATCATAATCCCAGCAATGTAGCTCGTCAGTATCTGACATGTGTAATCTCCCCCTTCCTGTTCAGCAGCGTTACATAATTAACAACAAACCGCAAAGTAGAACAATAAGCGAATGAATGCGTGATTTGTAGAAACTAGTGCCAGATACAGAAAAGTCTTAAACCCAAGAAATCTAAGCCTTTTAGTTGTACTTTGGCACAGATACCAGGAGTGGGTACCCACTACTACATTTTGGATTATGTAATCCGATCAGATAATGGTTTTACACCTGGAAAACAGCAACAGTTACCCATTGTAATGCACTTTTAACTCAGAAGATTCTGAAATATGAAGGTTTTACTGATGCATATTGATATTTTAAACACATCAGTAAAAACTTCTCTCTTACAGGATGATCTCTAATGCAGTATTTAGCAACAACAGTATAGCTTTCATGTTGATAAGCTCTTATGACTTTAGATTTATTATTATTCTCCTATCCTTCTCCTTCTCCTAAACAATGTCAACCTGTCTTTGGTGACACACCCGAATGCACTTAATGTGTTTTTTATATACCTAAGAGAAGCGTCCAGAGCTTACATGTATGCTCTTTTTCGAATAGCATGTGATATATCATTTATGTCCCATCAATACTGCAACACAATACTTCAAACGAGGGTGAGTCTCATGCCGGTCATAAGTTCCTGCAGATCTAGCAGACCCGATTGGTCACTTGAAGCCAGTTAGCTTGAACACAAAGGACCCACCTAACTGTAACGTTACGTGGGCTAGCATAACGGTTTGCTAAACTTAACTAGCATTCATTAGCACCCTGTTGTAAAATATCTACGCGAAGGGTACGTTATGAAACACTTTAATCACGACGCACGGGTACACCAACGCATAAGCCACGCGTTATATTCGATAATGGATCACTACCGAGTGCAGAAACTGGAAACAATAGCCGCCAGTTGCTAAGTTATGCTAACATGCTAGCGTTAGGCACTTCCTTGATGAAAGAGAGCGCGTGGCTATGGAAACCCGTTAACAGAAGCGTACAACTCATCTTCAGCCTCCACATTAAATGACCCATTCACATAATTTGCGCTCTGTAGTAACTAAAACACAGATAATGAATCAAAGATATCGCAGAAACTGAATTACCCGTCCATTTCTGAAGAAATTCTCAGTGTCTCCGCTTTCAGTCTTGTTGTCTCTCTACAGTTGACACCGACACTGCGCACGCACGTATACACATGAGAGCAAAATGGAGGCAATGTGAAGATGCAAGACGATGCAATGGCGGAAATGGGCGGAAAGATCCGAAGCTGCTGTAACGCTGTGTGTGGCGAACTGGAGCAATTAATTAAATTAAGAGACACCAACAACAGCGGAGCAAATTGTCACATTAAAGAAAATTCCCCTTTCTCTGTCTAGTCAAGCAATATCTGTATGGATACAGTATGTGTTTGGTATACAACATGCAGGATGAAACCATGTAAAAATACACTGCATCATTAATATGCAGGCTGTATATACATATACTATATCATATTACATCATAGATAGATAGATAGATAGATAGATGATAGATAGATAGATAGATAGATCCTGTAATGTGCCTTTGAAGTGGAGTAGCAAATAGCAAATTCAGAGACCTCTACAATGTGGAACTTATTATTACATAATGTTTCCCAAGCAACTATACAGGAGCTAATTGTTCAAAAAAGACAAATAATGTCTCATTGAGTTATACTGCGATAAAACTGAATTTGCACTATTACCCTTTAGCAAAAACAAAGTCAGATGTGGTTACACAAAAAGACAGAATCAGATTTAGAAATACTTTAATAATCCCCAGGGGGACATTGCTTTTTGTTACACTAACTCCAGTGCAAATAAAGTAGAAAGAGGAGATAAATAATGGATAAAATAAGTAAAATAAGGAGATAATTAAAATATGCAATATGTATACAGTTTTACAGTACACAAGTATTTACACTATATACAACACAAAATAGTATAAAGACATAAAGGAAGATATTTTAGGATACTTGCATGTGCACTGCAAATGTCATGTATTTGGCTACAATTAATGTGATAGTGTTATAGTTATCCACTGATCAGAAATTGGTAAGCAGAGTTATTTGTTGGAGTTAACTGTAATGCACTTGTAATGTGTAATGTAAATCATCTTTCCACTGAGAGTATGGGTCAGCCAATTTGCTGCCATTTTTCAGAGTAAATGTGAGTAACAGTCTGGGTCCCATTCAGTAAGTGACCTCTCATACTGGGACAGATTGGTGTCATTTTCACCACTTTTGAAAATTAGCCTGAAACAGATTGCTGGTGCTGGTTGGGATGTCCAAAAGATTTTGTCTCCAGCTAAGCCCTAGATAGTAATATAGTTCATAAAAAAGTCTTTATATAGCATAAAGTATGTTACTACAAAAATTTGATTTATTAACCAGTTTTACACTGTGCCTCAGTCCATCCAAAACACGTTCAGGCCAAGAAAAGTCATTGCCATTCAGGAGCATGTTTAAATAGGGTTTCCTCTTTGTATGGAAAAGTTTGAACTTGCATTTAAAGATATAAACGATTGACTTATAAACCATCAACATTTGCTGTTATTAATATCTTACACTGCATTCCAACTGTTTTGGAATCATGGTTATATTTTCATTGTCCTTATTATACTGTTATAAATTCATGATATGTATTGCAGATGTAAATGTCTTACGGACATAATGAAAACATTTACCAAGTGCCAAAGAAAACCAAGTCTGTTAATTTGTCCATTCTGACTTTATTTATTTATTTAATTTTCTGATATGGGCAGTACAGGAGTCTCTCTGAACTCACAAGGGGAGAGCTGAAAAAAATACAGGGCAGTTTTTGCATAATGATTAATTTTGACAGACATACGTCATGCTCCTGGGCTCCTGACAACGTCACGCCCTGGGTGAAATTAACGCCTAACTGCTTATCTTAAAGGACCTGGGATTTAATTAAAAATGACATTTCCCCAAAGACTTGTGCTTCTGACGCTGCCATGTTGAAATTAGCTGATGAGGGGCCCTCTGAGCAAAAGGAAAATAAGCAAACTGTCAAACGCTCAGCAACCATTGCCGTTTATCAGTCCTGCTCGCTGCTCAGGAAATAACAGTGAACTGACATCCTGCATGGCACCGTGGATACAAGTCATATTGTTATTAACAAGAAGGGGGGAGGAAAAAAAAACCAAGCCTGTCAAATGTGATACGGGCACAAACAATGTGGTTGTGCTAAGTAGGGGAATAGGTTGCTGAAATGAGCTCTTAAGTCACCGCAGACACATTTTTCAGACAAAGGCACACTTTATGACTTGAAATTGGTGTATTTTGTAATGAGTGCCACTCAAATTGTCAGTCCTAAACAGAAAATCAAACAAAACAGTGAAGGAAACTGAAATGTTACCGAACTTAATGACCCACCCTGACTGCTACCAGACCTTTCAGTGACACTCATCAGTTGTTACTACATCAATTAGAGAATGTCAGAACTGCTCATACTGTGCATGTTTATCTATTTTTATAAACACGCCTTTGAGGTTGGACATTAGCATACTCTTCTTTTCACAGCAACAATTATAAAGGTATGATAGAATATTACCTGTATACGTGGAATGATTTTCTTCAACAGAGACACCTAAACCTTTACTTTTGGTGTTGAGGTGCTCTGTTCTTTGACCAATCCACTATTTAAGCTATCCACTGATGGCCATTGCTCAGTTGGTAGTGGTAAGTGTTTCCAGACCAGATTGCCAATCTAGTGTGGAAAAGCATGGCATATAAGGGACAGTAGAAGCATTGCTGTGGTGTATCAGAGATCACAGAGCTTTCCTTAAGATTAATCACAAGGCTACAGAGTTATGCACAATCATAAATAAAGCATCAATACTGATCTTTAGTAGGGAGAAAAAGACTTCCCCAGCTCAATGTAAGGATACCAACACAGTTTGGGAGAAAATATAACCATGTCAAAATGCAGATGTGGTTAGTTTCATTTTTAAAGCGAAACAATATGGGTGACTCAGCTGTCCAGAGTCTCTGTGATGATAAAAGTCAATATCTCAAGACAATATTCATCTACACAGAATTTTGTTCAACCAGCATCTTCTTTGCTTTACCTGAAGGTATCTTGGCAGTTGTGTGATTCTTTTTGTTTTTGTTTTTTTGTAATTCCTGTCTTACATTTTAGGACATGTGCCTCCAGAAGGCCCTTCAAAAATTGTTTATTTTTTGACATACCTTACAATCAGGGAAATAATCGTATAAATACAAATCATGATGATTGTTATTACATGTCTTATCTCTTATTATGGGTTGTAATTTTCCCTCATACATTTCTGCTGAAATAGTTGTCATTCCCAGGGGCAACAACAGCTCATGAAATGAACAGCTGTTGCCAGTTCAAAATATTGTAAATCCAACATTGAGAATATTTTAGGATAGTGTATTTTCTGCAGCTAAGCAATAAATACAACAGGCCTGGAATTCAAGGGGGTATTTTGGAGTATCTGATATGTGTACATACAGGTTTTTAATGTGTCTGTTTGTGTGCGTGGACAAATGCACAGCTTTCATCTCTCGTTGATAGAGGTGCCACATAGAAGGCATCACAACAGGGCTGTGACAGACTCAGTCGAAGGTGATGTCATCACGGTGCGACCTTCGAGAACGAGGGCACGCCTGTGGGGTTTGATTATCTGTGACGGTGCAGGGCAGAGGGACCAGATGTGTTGCGAGGAGTGTGAGGTAGTTGTCAGTTGGTGTCTTCTCCAGTATCTCCCTCTCTTTTAATCAGGCACATTAGTTGTGAGTGTAAGTTGATATGCCGATGATGCGCTGCAACACTCTCACACACATACACACACACACACAGAGAAAGGGAAAGTGGGCTGAAGCAGAGCTCCCCGAGTAAGCCATCATTGCTGATGCACAGTTGGTATTCAGGTTGGTCATTTAACCCTGCACGTTTGAAATTGAAACATTTAAATAGGAGACAGTAATGTCATCAAATGTCATTTGTGTCATAGCAACCGGCAGGGAGATAAAATGTCATCTTGTCTGAGAATGAATATTTCTGCAGGGTTGAAGAACCCATTTATTAAAATCATAGCGCCGCTGCCCCTCTGCGCTAAAGGGACAGCATTCCCTGTCATGTTTCACTGTGACCCTCCAGCTTGACATTTTGATTTCTCTCTTTTGTCCTTTCCAGTTTTCTCTCAGAGTGACAGCATGCACGCCTCTCTGTTTTTGTGTATGTGAGTTTAAGTGTGTTTCATACTAAAAGCCTCCCATCGTAAAAGGCAACACAAAGGGAATGTCAGAAATGTCAAGATGCCATCGTGGCCCATGGTGATTGGGGGATTGGCAGTTGTACCAGGCTTCCTTGAAGACATGTCTCTACTACTACTCCAGACTTCACTCTCACGATGTTTGATCTCTTTTCTCACTGATGCACAGTGGACAATCTGCAGCTGAGACATTTTGAGGATGGCACCAGGGAGACGTAAAAAAACTCCAAAATGCTCTTTTCAAAGCTTATTCCTCCATGTCTGCATGCATTTGAGCGATCCATCATTTGCTGACAACAGCTGCAGGAAGAAAGTCATTGTGATATTATGCAAATGTATTCGTCAAAATATCACAAACATTCATGAATTGCGGTGCATTGCAGAATGTGAATATTATGTGCTTTGACACTGTGCTGAATAACTAATGATGTGGGACTGACCTGTTTGCTTGAATGCCTGCCACAAAAACTACACTCTGTAGAGTACGGGGAGCATGCAGCAGCAGACTCAGCCACTTTATTTGATCAAATCCATGAGTTACTGTCAAAGCACACTCATTCATTCTGACAGGGCAGGCTTTCAGACCAAGTCTGACAGACATGTGCTTTAACTGACACTGCCTCCTGTTTTTCTGGGGCCTAAGTGTCTGATGTTTGATAATATCTGCTGATATTGACTGTCTTATATTATTATTTGGGCTTGGCAGATAAAAAACTACAGAGCAAAGATACAGCAAAGTTGGCATGAATTTTGGCATTAAAGATGGTACTATTGATTAACATGATTCATTTACGCAGCTAAAAATAATTAAAGGTTAGCAATTTTCACTGGCAACTGTATTCTCACCTCTAGTGAGGCAATGGTGACCTTAGTAAACAAAAAGTACAACTACTTAGTATGGCACCCAAGGCTTAATATATGCATGTGAATTGTGTTGTT